CCAAGAGGTCAAGGGGCCCTGGTTCCAGGCCTGACTGCCCTTGGGCTCCTCTTTCTCTCATTGGCGGATGGGAGCCACCCCCTCCATGGCTGGCTGACCCAGCTCCCCGCTGCTCCRCCTCCACCTCCCCCTTGGGCTGGCCATCCCAGCTCTGCCCTCACATGACCTCAGGAAGTAGGAAGAGCCACTGGACTGTCTGTGGCATGTAGCGAGTGCTCAGTTAATATGCCTTCTCTTGCTCCCTCCCTCCCCCAAATGCTAGGAACACCAAGCTTGCAACACTGTCACCCTGCCTTCCTGAGCCCTGAGTATCTGCCAAATGACCCACTGCTGTCACACYGGCCCCTCCTACCTTTGCCCAGAATTTCCCAGAATGTCCTTCCACCGTGGCTGAGAGGTAGTGACCTCAACCAGAACCCTCCCATTTCACAGAGGACAAAACAGAGGCCCAGAGAGGCGAGGGGCTGGCTTAGGCCCCTCAGCAAATCATAATCAGACACCAGACTAGCTCTCCAGCCCAGGGCCTTCTGTCCACGCYCCCCACCCCGTGCTGTGTGCTCCGAGGGGCTCCCTGGGTAGTGAGGAGAGGTAGGGGCTGCAGGGCAGTGCCCAAGGGACCATGCACAGTGAGGTCCTGCTGCAAGGGCCCCCATACCCAAAGGGCTCTCACCTCTGCCCTTCTGCAGAGACCCTGCTGTTCTTCCTCTGAGAGATGGAGTCAGCTGACCTTAAGCTCCAGGCCTCTTGTCCCACCATTAGAGCCTTGGTGTCAAGCATTGCCCCCTGCAAGGGACTTCCAAAGCTGATCAGGAAGAGCCTGGGGAGCACAGGCTGGTTTATGCCATTCCTCCTCTGGCAGGAGGACAAGGGTACCACCCAGGGAGGTGTGGGAAGCAGGGGCAAAGCAGGACTAAGGTGGCCTTTATAAGGCCACACAGTGGATTGAGAGGGGGGCGTATATTCTCCATTCTAAATGCAGCACGTGCCCACCATGGGAGATASCAAAAAAGGAGGTCTACAAGGAAGGGGCTACAGTGGCAGCTGCACCCCAGGCTCTGCTGAGGAGGCCCCTGGGGGAGGTGTGCACAGGCCCTACCTGCCAGGGTCTCCCCGGGGAGCCAGGCCAGGGGGTACCCCAAGGAAGGCCACAGAGCTGGTTCAGAAGAGGGAGATGAAATCCTCCCATGGGAGTCAGGGAGGGCCACCTAGGGAAGGGACATTCATCCTGAGCCTAAGGTGGATGCCTCCAGCCCCCCTGCTCCCATCTAGTGCCAGGYCCCGGAGGACCCCGCTGTGCTCGACTTCACCCCAAGCCGGCCTCTGGCTTCCTCCTCCCCSCTCCTGCCTCCAGATACGGACACAGAGCGGCCAGTTCTCTGCTGCGATGGGAGCGATTAGATTAGAAGGTGATTTGAGTCTGATTATCAGGGTGGAAACTGGCCCCCTGCATCTTTTTCCATCATCTGTGCTGGGAGGTGAAGGGCAGCCTCCCTGTCACCACCCAAGCCAGAGGACCGGCACCTTCATTTCTCAGCCAACTTTCTTTACTCACGTCTTGGAGACCCAGCTACTGAGGCCTTGTCTCCTGGGTAGAGTTCCGTGTGACCAAGACAACAGGSAAAGACTTCAGATCCTGGCTCTGCCCCTTGCAGGGACCCTGGACAAGCCAGCTCCCCCCCCCCCAACAACTGCAGTTTCCTCCTGCATCAATTGAGGGCCAGCGTGAGCATCACGTGATATAATTGCTCGTGTTGGGTAGCACCGTGCCTGCCACGCAGTAGGTGTTGTCTAGCTGGGTTGCTGTCACTGCCGTCTCCACTCTGTAAGTGCAACCGTGTGTGACCCTTTCCCTCTTTTGAAGTCTCCAGTGACCCCCTCTCCCCTGACATGATATCAGTTTTCTCGTTGGTCGAGTGGTGGTAGGCAACAGCCCCACACAAGCCATCGCAGAAAGTGTTTTGTCAGACGTTGTTTCAATGACCAAGGTCCTGACATGGGGCCTCTTGGGGACTGGGTGGTTCCTGGATCAACCTGAGATGGAAAGTCAGCAGGCCAGCCTGCTCAGCCCAGAGTCAGCGTCTGGACTCATTCGGGGTTACCCCCACCCCATTCCCTGCATGAGATTCCTGTCCTGGGAATTCTCCTGCCTGAGAATCTGAGTTCTTGACAGCTCACCGGGCCATCTGCCCAAGGTGTACGCCTTCATGATGTGACTCCCACATCTGTGTCAGGACAGGATGACGTTCTCCTGCCTTCAGGGAGCACACTGGATGGTGTCTGTCTGCCTTTCAGCAGAGCACTTTAAGACCCTAAGATCTTCGTGCCAAGGTGCTAGTGTAGCACACATTCACACATGCACAGGCATGCAAGTGCACAGATGCGCGCGCGCACACACACACACACACACACACACACACACAAGATATTACACAAATCCTGGCAGGAAAGGAAAAGAGGGAGTGGATTTCTCACATAAGGAACATGCTTTGGGTCCTGGCTCAGAACACATGGACTCCTGATTTAGGAAGATTCTAGTGAATTTGCTGACCTGGGTTTCAAATCCCAAGMGAATCAGAAATCAACAGAAAGGGTGTTAGAGACAGGTTGCACACAGAAAACATGGAGAAGGGGCACCCAGTGTTTAAAAAGCAGAACTGAGTTCCAGAAGCAAGTCCTGGAGGGTGGAGCCTCAGTATAGAGGTCCCAAGGCCTCCCCTGGGCAACATCTGGGATTCCCCGTATGGTTTACTGTGGGCACAGCATAAGGATGGCCTGAGACACGGCATCAGGCAGGAACAGGATTCTTATTTCTGCATTTAAAAAGGAAGGGCAAGATGCACTGTAGAAAGTTTTCTACTCAGAATGATAAAATTAAAGTCGGGGGGGGAATGGGTGTCTGGAGAGCAAAAATTCACTTATGCAGCTTCTGTCAGTTTCCCAGGCTGGGCCCAGCCATCCAACTCAGTGGCATTAAACACATTCACACTCGTGCAGCCACCACCACTGYCTATCTCTGGAACTTTTCATCTTCCCAAACTAAAACTCTCCTGTTCCTCTTCCCCAACCCCTGGTAACACCCATCCTACTTTCTGTCTCTATGAATTTGACTACTCTCAGGGACCTTACATGAGTGGGACCACATGGTATTTATAGTCCGTTTGTGACTGGTTGATTTCATGTAGCACAATGTCCTCAAAGTGTATSAGAACTTCCTTCCTCTTGAAGGCTGAATAAAACTCCATTGTGTATACGGAGCATCAGATTGCTATAACAATACATGCAAATCCATGTTTATGGCAGCACAATTCACAATAGCCAAGTTATGTAACCATCCCAGGTTCCACCAACAGATGAACAGGTAAAGAAAATGTGGTATATATACACCATGAATTTTATTCAGCCATAAAGAAGAATGAATATGTCATTTACAGGAAAAAAAATATGGAACTGGAGATTATACGTTAAGCAAAATAAGTCAGATTCCGTATGTCAAGGGTCACATGTTTTCTCATATGTAGAAGCTAGAGAGAACAAAGTRTAAAAAAGGACCTTATGAAAATAGAGGAGAGGGGGCTGGGAATGTAGCTCAGTGGTAGAGCATTTGCCTGGCATGTGCAAGGCACTGAGTTCTATCCCCAGCATTTGGGGAAAAAAAATAGGAGAGAGACCAAGAAAGTAGAGGGGGGGAATCAGACGTGGGGAGGGAGTCRGGAAGGTCATGATGGGGAATGAAATTGATTTATCAAATTATGTTATGTACATCTATAAAGAATTCAAAATGAATCCCACTATTATATGTAATCATAATGCACCAGTAAAAAATAAATAGCCACTTCATCCCTTACAACTGCCCCTCCAGATCATTGAAAGAATTCTAGTTTGAGAAATCTGAAACTCTGGGAAGGGGGWCCTTAATCTTTCTTGCAGCATGAACCCCTGGGGAAGTGTGGCATTGTTAAGTGCCACCTCTTCTTAGAATAAAGCTGTGCAGGGTGAGGTGGCACATGCCTGTAATCCCAGTGGCTTGGGAGGCTGAGACAGGAGGATCACAAGTTCAAAGMCAGCCTCAGCAAAAGCAAGATGCTAAGCAACTCAGTTAGACTCTGACTCTGAATAAAATACAAGATAGGGATGGGGATGTAGCTCAGTGGCTGAGTGCCCCTGAGTTCAATCCATGGTACCAAAAAGAAAAAAATAAAAGAAAAAACTACTAGATTTCAAGGAAAACCAATTATGTTGAAATAAAGAAGTATAAAAATAAGTGGTATAAAAATGTATGTGCTTCCTGATTAACACACTGAACAACAAGATCCATCAGGATGCTTAATAACCACAATAGTTGAAAAAYAGAGAAAACTAGCCACAAAATCTGCAAAGCTGTAAAAATGAAACAAAAAAATATCTGAGAATTTTGTAATGTGTGTGATGGTGCACCAATAGCATTTCTATATTCATGGTGGGAAGAAATGGTAAATGGCAGTCAGAGGTTTATGAAAACAAAGGCATAATATTTTTCTCATCCAAACTCACAAACCTCTGAACCACAAATAAGGAGGGAAGATGGATCTCATTTTGAGCAGTGTTCAGTCCTCAGTTGGCTCCTCTTTACTACTTGCAGAATTAAGCAGGATGTGGTTTGGCTCCACATACTATCGATAAGGAAAAGAGAGAGTATCCCTCAGCTTGGGCTGTTACTATGGAAAAGGAAGAGGGAGAAGGAGACAGAGGAAGAAAATGACCTTCCAGAACAGGGTAATAGGTGGTGAGCCTGGAGATGATTGGGAGGGCCTGAGAACTGAAGGACAGCAGTCCTGGCACTGTCCTGAGGTGAAATCATCTTAAGAAACCCATCACACACACATACAGTGTGAACTTTAACCATAGATGGTATCCTACAATTTTTTGTAGCAAAAGAGCTGGGAGCTTACCATTCCTTCTACTCCTCTGGGGAGGGAGTTTGGAGGATGTAATGATAACTTGGCTTTTGCTCTTTTCTCTAGGTACCCATGTGATGGAGGGCTCAGGACGAATGGTGGTGACTGCTGTAGGTGTGAACTCTCAGACTGGCATCATCTTTACCTTGCTGGGAGCTGGTGGTGAAGAGGAAGAGAAGAAAGACAAAAAAGGTAAGCACAACCCCCCTTGCAGACCAGGAGAGGAGCTTTTAAGGCCACATTTTTTGTTGTTTTTGTTTATTTGTTAGTYAGCAAAATAGTTACCGAGTGCCTTCTGTGTCCACGCCCTGTACCAACRGTCGCCTCCATCCTCAAGGCCCTGCTGGGGCCAGGTGGGCTCTGTCCGTTTCATCTCTAGGGTCTTGTCCCAGTCTCTGTTTTGTCCAGTCATGTCACAGAGGCCCCTCCTTCCCCTTGGGGCCAGGCATGAGGTTGAGTCTTCTGTTTCAAGCAGCAGAAACAGCCAGCATGAATAGGTCTCATCACCTTGATACTGAGTAGAAATTCCCACTGACATTTATTCCTGCCACCATTGTCAACTCCACTAGACAGAGCTGAAAAGCTACCCAACATAGACTTGTCCCATACGTGGGCAGTAGATATTCTGGGGAAGATGGCCAAATACATGGCTGTAAATCTACTGCTCTAGGCCACCTCTCTGATTCCCCCTCAAGCTGCCACCTTGTCCCAGTTCTGATCCTTCCTCCACCTTGAAAATAAGAATCCTTACTCATTGGACTCCCAGCAGTGCAGTGGGTGTGGCCTGTGAGGAAATGCTTCTCAGGAAAGATAAGGGATGCTCTTGTGAGAAACCCCAATCCTGTCAGGCCAGGCCCAAATCCAGAGATCTGGGCTTCTGGCCCCAGCACACCCTGCTCCTTACCTGACACCCATACTCAGTCTCAGAGTCAGCCCCCCTTTCACATCCTCAGTCTTTTMTCTTCTTCCTTAAGCTCCAGGGGAGGATCCCCAACACCCAGAACTTCTGGAGCCTGGGAAGAAGAGAGATAAGAGGGCAGATGGTCCCTGCCTGGGTTTCAGGGGCAACTCTGCTATCTCCAGCTCTCAGGGGCCACCCAGGCACAGAGCCTGGGTCAGGATTGAAGTCTACTTGTTCCTGAGGGCAAAACCCATTTTCAGTGGGTCCCCTAAGATGATGAGATTGTGACTCTGCACCCACCCCCACGAGCAGGAACACTGGATCTGAGCTGTGGTCTGGGAAATCAAGAGGCTGGAGAGAGCAAAGGGGTGCCAAGGTTGAAATGGAGGAGAGAATCTTGGCAGGAACATCCAGGGGACATCAGGACAGTGTCCATATACCAAGGGAGAATCTGTGGCCAGGGTGGCCAGGCCTGGCACGAGGTATAGGGAGTTGGACAGAATGCTGTGGCCTGTATGAACCTCCTTGGCCTCACCGGGCTCAACTCAGGGACGAGGACACCCAGAAGCTCCCACAAGCCAGACCTGTGTTTATGAAAAGCCGCTAAGGAAGGCAGGTCTCAGTGGCCCTGGAGTGTAGTCAAGGTCCCTCTCTGAGCATGCCCCAGTGAGACAAAATATTGAAAGATCCAGCTTCCTGGAGGGAGAAGAGGTGGGATGCAGAGGGGACGTGGCACAAGAAACCTAGGAGGTGGGCCAGCATCTCAGGCCATCATGAGTAGCTCAGCCGCTCCCATCCCATCCCCCCATCCCATTGTCTCAACTGGAGACAGCTTAGAGCCCGCCAGTTGCAATTTCCCATTTCAGAATGACCTGGGTGTGTGTGTGTGTGTGTGTAAGATGAGGCTGTGTGTGCTTCTCCATCATTAACATGTCTCAAAATCGTCACACAGGTGTGAAGAAGGGGGATGGCCTTCAGCTACCAGGTACAGTAAGACACCCCTTAGAGTAGATGGGGCTTTTAGAAATAGCTGCAGCCTTTGGTCACCAGGGCCTGACATTACACCACTAGCACCCAGAGGGAGGTGGCCCTATTACAGATGCCCCTCTGTGCCCTCATGGGATGCCAGCCCAGCAGGACACACCAGCACCTCACTCCACCTCTTGCCTTACGGGACTTCACTGTACCATATGGTACCACCCCACTCTGCCCAGTCACCRCAGCCCTGCACACCAGCATATGACACCTCACAGCACACAAGACCCCGACACCCCCACTCACACCCCAGAGTCCACCTGGCTTCCCATCCCCCACCACACAACATGTCTGCCTCACCCACCAGCATCTCTCACCCTACAGGGTCTCATTCTCCTCCTCCCCACAGAACCCCAGTCCCCCAAGAAAGAGCAAYGGACGTGAATGTTGTCCATCTCAAATCATTCTTAATTGCTAAATTAATAAAACTTCACTAACGCCTTTGCTTGTGTACAAACTGAGACGTGCTTGATGCTACCTTTTAAACAGAAGGCTATCTCATCAGGGGGTTACCAGGGCGATCTTTAGTATGCAGGTTAGGGAAGGAAGAGCTAGTGATGGCAAGTGCCCTGAGAGAAGGCAGGATCCTAACAGCTGTCACCACCACTGACTGCTGGTCCACCAGGACACGGTGATGGCCATCTTAGCAGAGAGCCCTTCTGCATGGCTGGTGCACACGCTGTACCCCTCACTGAACAGCTTGAGCTGACTCCTGGTCATAGGGCCCCCTGGTCCTGATGGGAAGCCAGACCCCTTCATCCAACGTGGGGCCCACCCGACCCATTGGGCCAACATTGTCGAGACCTCACCACGGAAGAATGCCATCCTCCTGACCACCCTGCTCATCCTCCATGTTTTATTTCAAGACCCTCCATTGTCTGAGTCCCCCCCAACCCCACCCCTGTGGCATCTCCCCGGGAACATTTCACCTCCACCCCCAAATTTGAGTTTCTTGATTTCCAATAGAGACTTGTTGTTGTTGTTGTTGTTGTTGTAGAGTCACATGGTTTTCCCGCCAGTGGGTTCATGTCTTTATCGTTGTTGCTTTTCTCCATTGTGACACACTGCATTTTCCATCCCTCCCACCCCTCCCCCTGCAGCGGCAGACGGTGTGGCAGCTTCAAACGCTGCAGATAGTGCGAGGGCCAGCCTAGTCAATGGTACGTCTCCGATGGCAATGGTCAGTCTCGGTCTGGGTTGGACGGGCCTCTCTCTCTTCCGCTCCCAACTCTGGGCTTTCTCTCCCTCTTCTGGACTGCACAGATCTCGGATGTGCATGGGATCTCGCACTGGGACAGTCACCCTCTCACATGGGGCAGGCGCTTAAGAGCAGAGCCACAGCCGGAAACCAACTCCACACCTGCTTGTAGCTACCCAAAGGTGCTGGCTCCTGTTGGGCCCTGAACCCCCACCCAGGGGAGCCCAAAGTGTGGGACATGACTTTGGCTTCAGATTTGGCCCCCAAGAAGCAGTGTCCCACCTGGCGTGGCCCTCCGACTAAGTGCATTTCTGCCCTGGCTTTGGGAAGATGGCCTGGGGCCTGGACCTGAGCTGAAGCCGGCATCTGGGTCTGCAGTGAAGACTCCCAGCCTCCACTAAAATTCCCTGGAGGCAGGAGGACCCAAGCCAGGGTTCAGCTCCTCAGCCCCACCCCAGAGCATGGCTGAGCCCGGTGGAGTTTTCTTCCTCTTCTCTTTCACGGAGCTAACGGGCAGGGGTTTTGCTTGGGCTCGGGTCTAGTTCTGTCCCTCCTATGTGGACTGGTGTTTCTTGCTGTTGCCTGTGCTGGGGCATTTGTGGGACTCTGCATTCTTACTGCCCCCTGGGGTGGTGGGTGAGGGTAGGGTTACCCCGTGTAGCTGGGGTCTGCATCTGTCCCTCCTTACGCACGGCCTGGGAGGAATTCCGTGCACTTGCCTCCAAGCCTCCAGAAGATTTCGTTCTCTTCAGGACAGATGAGGCTTCTGTTGACTCAGATACTGCCCCTGCCCCAAAGTTAGGTAACATGATAATCAACCAGGCTGTTCCGGGATTGCTGAGAGCCATGATGGCAAAGCCATGAAAACATGACTCCAGAGAAGCCAAGGAAGGAACAGAAATGTCTTTTTTCTCTGGTGTCCCTGCACACCAGGCCCTGGGCCACAGGTCTCTCATCCTCTGTTTCATTCACTCCTCACTGCTCCTGCAAAGCATGGAGACTTGTCACCGCCCCCAGCCTCTGCCCCAGACCTCTGTCAAGCTACCTGTCTGCAAAGTGACCAACCACGGAAGCTCCTAGAAGATGTCAGGGGCTAGACAAGGCGCTTCCGCAAGCAGAATGCTAATCTGGGTGCAGGTCTATTTCAGGCCCGGGAGGAGAAAGGAGAACAGCTTGGGATGTGGGAGGTGTCACACGTCAGGGAGGGCTGGCTGAGAGGTGACAGAACAGAGATGGGCAAACCCACAGCTGGGGCAAGAAGGCACCAGGCATTGGTACCCACTTCCCCCAGGTAATGAGCAGCAGACCCCATCTATGCCAACCAGCTCCAGAAAAACAAAAAAGGAGGGGGGTGTCAAGTTCACTTCCAATTTGCAGCCCCAAACCCTCAGCATCCAGAGGGAAAAAAATGTAGGAGAAATAAGGAACTTTCATTTCTTAATTATCTGTTATATGCAGGTACTGTTGCAGGATTTCCATCTTATTTAATCCCCATGACACAGGTTTTATTATCTCTAATTTAAATATGAGGAGACTGAGGTTCAAGGAGACCCAAGACACGCACCCAAGAACACAGGGCAAGAAAGTAGCAGAACTGGGATCTCAACCCAGAACCCAGACCAGGCTGGCTCCAAAGTGTGTGCTCCTCCTGAACCAGGATCTCTTGATGGAGTGAAAGTTACAAGAAGAGGTCTTTCCCCTAAGAGAAGGATCCTGTGGTCAAAGATGTTTGAGAACCCCTGGTCTGAATTGATTTCTTCCTCACTTGCAGAACTGCTCGAACCTTGAACTTGCTGATGGTCGTGCAGAGCTGTAGAGTCATAAAGGGTGCCCAAGCTGACTTGACAGCAGGACCCTTCCTGGCTGAATCTTGAGGGACGGGTATGCCCCATAAATACACTTTGGGAAACTGCTCTATGCCAGGAGGACCCAAAGTCTGGGCATTGCTTTCGAGCTTGTTAGAAATGCAGAATCTCAGGCCCCACCTCCAGACCAACACAATGAGAATCTGAATTTTAACAAACCTTTCATGCTCTAGGAAAGAGCACCATGAAAGTTTATGAGCCTTGATAAGTGAGAGAATTAACTGTAATTTTATCCCCTTCCTCTGAGCCAAATCTTGATGACTTAGATGTTGTAGAAAAAAATTGGGGTGCCAGCATCCCCCAACTCTACTCCCCAAAGCTCCACATCTCAAAGATAGATGCGTTCCATGCATCCTGGAGGTGTGATTTCCTTAATTGCTTTATTATTTTTTATGCTTGTTCACATATGGCTATTTAATACACCACTTAGATTATTAGAAGCAGGAGTCATAACGTATAACCATTAACTCCTAACATTTATGCAGCACTTTGCAGGTGCATCCCATGAGCATCACCTTAGTTGATACGGACCCATTTCACAGAGGAGGAAAGGGTGGCACAGAGAAGTGACATTTTCCAGATCTCCTAGCTGGTGGTCTGTCTCCTCCAAATCTGTGCTCCTCTCACCTCTATCCCTCCTGATGTTCAAAGAGAATGGACTCAGAAACAGCCACATCTGGAAGAGAAGGGCCTCCGAGACCCCTCCCAGCCCCACTCTCAGATCCTGCCACATCCCCTGAAATACAGCCCACCCTCCTGGTCCCTCATAGGACCAAAGCTGGCTGTCCCATCACAGTGCGGAGCCAGGCAGGCAAGAAGAGTCCCCAATAAGTCCCTTGTTTCTGAGAAACCAGGCCATCTGCACCAAAGCACTCCTACAATGTACTCCCTCCCTCCAACATATGCATTGGCAATTATTTTTCTAGCCACGTGATCACTGTGGCAATAAAAGAGGAAATTGCTAGTTGGGTCTAATGGGCACGCACACCGGCTAGGCATCTGATAATATGCAATTCAAATAAAGGCCCCTTCGAGCCTTCTAAAAGAGACTATTGAAGCTGAGTCCTCTGGTGCCCCTTAGCCTAGTTAGTAAAATTATTTTAAGAAATAAAAATAATTGTTGTTCATTCCTGTTTGCTCTGAAAAGTCTTCTCTCTGGTTGTTGTTTTATAAATCCAGTAGGAAGACTTTAACAATAGAGCAATGGGGGCCTTTCTCTTTAAACCCCAGCCTTGCTCTGAGGGCTGGTGAGAACAGCCCAGCATGGACACTGGAACAGAACGTGACGAGCAGGGACCAGGGAAGCCGGTTCCCTCCTGGGTGTCACCTAAAAATTGGGTGCAGAAATGCTAACAAGCTCATCATGTGGTTTCAAGGTGATGCGGAGGTTACCCGTAAATGCAGGCTGCCTCTGAACATCCTTTGGCCTCGGTTTCCTCATCTGTAACATGAGAGTGTTGACAGTCCCTCCCACCCCACCTTGCAGGGACTGACAAGAGATGACTCTTGCAAAAGCCCTTTTAAATGGCAGAAGGCTGAACCATGCAAGTGGTTATTGAGAGAGTGAATTTTTTTTTTTTTTCAGTACTGGGGATTGAACCCAGAGGCACTTTACCACTGAGCCACATCCCCTACCGTTTTTATTTTTTATTTTGAGGTAGAGTTTCACTAAGTTTCTTAGGGTCACTCTTAGTTGCCTAGGCTAACCTCGAGCTTGCCTCGGCCTCCTGAGTCACTGAGATTACAGGCATATGCCGCCGTTCCCGGCTGAAGGTGACTTTGGAACACTATGGGAGGTGACTATTGGGATAAAGGTGGAAGTCAAGGCTGGGAGACGTGAAGTCACACAGTCAGTGCCAAAACAGGGACCCTGAGGAACTCTATCCTAGCAGCACCATCCCGATGCCCTTCCTTGGGCTCAGAGGGGCTTCAGGAAATGAGACAGCAGAGTGGAGACATGCACACACTTTGGGGCCAGCTGTCCACTGCAGAGACGTCAGTGGGTCATCTCCCCCTCTGAGCCTCAGTTTCTCATCTGCAAATGGGTTTGTTTCAAGAGTACCCTTCATGGGGAGGCCATGGACAGGATCACATGAAATCATGGAGGCCACCCGAGCCTGATACCTGGTGGGCGTGGCAGCAGATGTCCAAGGGCGGCTGGCCCCCTCAGACCCCTCCCTTAGTGGCAAGGCCCAGAGGAATAAATCCAGATGAGCGGCACAGGCCAGGGGACCAGAGGGTACAGGAGAGAGGCAGGTGTTCCAGGTGAGACACAGCAGCCACCAGTGCCACCCACTTGGGCCAGGGCTGCCCTGTTTAGTGGGTGGGGATCCCCATAGTCACCCTTTCCCCTGTGCTAGGCAGCAGGCCCTGGCATAGAAGAAACTGCCCAGAGGAACCTACTGACTCTACTTATCCTGCCTACCGTGGCCGGAGCTGCAGAATAAAGTCCCCCTTAACCAGGGGTCGTAGCTTTCCCCTCGGGAATGAGGATGCTTCATGAAGCCCCCCCCCCGACATGCTCAGGGCCCCTCAAAGACCACTGCTGGGGACGTCTTGCTCACTCTTTGCCATGGTCACTGTCAGAAACATCCATGCAATAGCTTCTTAGCCCTTCAGAAAGATGAGGAAAAAGCAGAATTGTCCCCTGGAGCCAGATACAAAGAGACACAGAACTACGTACATCATCCAGACTCTGCTTATTCTAGAATCAATCCCACCCCCTTCTCTCTTTCCTTCCTCCGTCCCTCCCTCCCTCTCTCCCCCTCCCTCCCATCCTTCCCCTCCCTCTCTCCCTCCCTCCCTCTTTTTCTGTCTCTCTCTTTCTCCATTGTGTTTACATGTTTCCTTCTACAAGGAAACAAAAAGGTTGTAGCTGAACATTCCCCTTTGCCCCCTCCCAGCCCACAAAATACAGCTGTCAAAAAGTTATAAAAGCCTCACTGGTGGGGTCTAGAGTTCTCCTGCTTCCTGCCAGCAGACTCTGTCCCCTTGACTCTCAAATATGGTCCTTGAATCTATAAAACACTCAGGGCCAAGGTGATTGCAACAGAAACCCTCTCTCCTGAGTCCCCTAGAGAATCCAGAGTCACTCAGACTGACAGCCCCCTGTGGCCAGCCTGGCAGCCAGCTTGCCCTGGGTCTGCGGGCCTACACAGCACCTGAACAGCTCAGTCCTTCCTCCATCTGTGACATGAATGTCCRTGGCCTGTTACGTCTCTGTGATGACCGACCTGTGCCATCTGTTCTCTGTTGTCTGTTAAAATTCTTTGTCGTGTAGGTAAAATGCAAGATGGCAATGTGGACTCCAGCCAGAGCAAAGGTAAACCTCTGTCCCAGCCTCTGTGGTCCGCGCGGGCCCCTCCCCACCCACACCAGCTTGCACCAGAGGTGGAGGCTAGTTACGAGGCCTGGTGTCCCTGGGGATGTAGCTGTGATACTCATGGTGCCAGGTGTCCCTGGGGAGAAGAGAGGACACTCCTGGGCCAGCGTCTCCCCAGCCTTTGGGCTCCCGGCCCATTCAGCTGCAGACTCAAAACTGGTTCTTTGAGATCCTTACAGGTCGAAGGATGGGGTAGGTTAAGGGCTGGCCCAATCTCTGTCAAAAAAGGGCCACAGGTCCTCCATTCAGTCCCATGCTGAAGAGGCCATACTGACTGGGGACTAGGTACCTGTGCCCAGAGGTTCACCCTCTTTTACCTTTTAAACGTCTTTCTTATTTTTCATTTTTGACCCTCCTGTCTGCTGGATCCTCAATATCTTAGTAGCATGCCCCAGGGGCATGCTGGGAAAGCCCAAGACTTTCTTTCCTATCTGACTATGGGAAAGACCAAGAGTCCATTTTGAGTAGAGTCTGTGGGTTGCTTCAGGCCCCAAGGGGACCCCAGTCCACTCCTGCTGGGAGCCCAGGGTAGAGCGTGTTCTCTGAGGCAGTGAGACTCCTGGCAGCCCAAGAATCCATCTGGGCTCCTGTGCCCACCATGTGGGGGCCCAGTCGGGGCAGCCAGCACCTCCACTGGGCAGGCAGGGTGGGTGCCAGCATCCCCACCCTGAAGGCTGACCTGCGTGCGCATCTGTGTGTCTGTGTGTGTGTGTGTGTGTGTGCGCATGTGCGTGCTCTGCCTCCTCCAGCCAAACAGCAGGACGGGGCAGCCGCCATGGAGATGCAGCCCCTCAAGAGTGCCGAGGGCGGCGACGCAGACGACAAGAAGAAGGCCAACATGCACAAGAAGGAGAAGTCTGTGCTGCAGGGCAAGCTCACCAAACTGGCAGTGCAGATTGGCAAGGCGGGTGAGTGTGCAGCGGTGGGGGCTGAGGGACTGAAGCCACCAGTGAGACCCCAGGCTGGCCTCGGTCACCTTGAAAGAGAGGGTCCTGCCTGGTGGGTGCTGGGGGGGCACACACCCTGTAAATCCCAGGGCTCAGGAAGCTGAGGCAGGAGGATCATAAGTTCAAAGCCAGCCTCAGAAACTTAGCAAGGCCCTAAGCAGCTTGGTGAGAACCGATCTTAAACTAAATAAAAAGGACTCGGGATGCGGCTCAGGGATTAACACTCCCAGGTTCAATTCCCTGTACCAAAAAATAAATAAGAAAGAGATGGTCCTGGAAGCCCAGGCTTTCCTGCCATAGCCATCAATCTGAGTCCTGTATGCAGTAAACACTCAGCACTTAGTGAGGCAGAAAGAGGAGGGTAAAACCCTGGATCGGGGCAGACTGCCTACATTGCAGTCCATCCATGGCTGTGAGAACTGGGCCAAGTATCATCAGCTTGCTCTGAGCCTCTGTCTTCTCACCTGTAAAATGGGGTTACAGGTCATCCCCACTTGACAGGTTGCTCTGAGGATTAAAGGGAATTATGTATACAGAGGACTTAGCCTTTGGCACATGCAGTGACTCAAGAGGGATCAGATTCTCAGAGCCTGGAGATCTAGGCAGCTCAGATTTTTATCCTGAGGACACTGGGAGCCATGGAAGAGATTTGAGTAGGGCTGGGCAGGGACGGATTGGGGCTTTATAATGAACCACACCAGCTGCGATGCAGAGGAAAGATTAAAGAGGCCGAGGGCATGCCAGGAGCCCAGGGAGAAGCCCATTGTCTGCGCTCCAACCAAACAAGCGGGGCTTCCCAACTGAGGTAGTGGCTGCACGTGGTGGCTGGTGACAGCCCCCTGGCCCGAGAAGCTGAGCCCAGCTGCAAGGTGAGTCCCAACCCTCCTGGCTAAGGATACAGCCAGTGCCAAGGCTTCCCCACCTGGCTGCTCTCCTCCGTGGCTGTCTCCCTGGCTCTAATTATAGACACCACAGCAGGGGGAGGGAGGAAAATTATAGGCCCGGCTGTCTATATTTAAACTCGGGGGCCTGGTGACAGCTCCGGGCTGCTGGGAGCTTGGCTTCCCGCCCCTGTGACTGTCAGACAGGGATAGAGCCCGGCTCTGAGGCCCCGCAGCTGGAGGTGGGGGGGGTGGGGAATGACGGGCCCAGGGATTTCCTCTGTCCCCACCATGGCTGTCACAGGCACAAGACTCCCTGGGAAGGTGGCATTGGTTAGGGGAGGAGACTAAGAAGACAACAGCCCCGTGGCCCTCAGAGTCCTCCCTCCCCTCCCTCCCTGACCTTTCACAGCCTACCTCTTGGGCTGAATTTCCTGCAAGCAGATCCGAGATGGGTGGTGAGGGATTTACCCGAGATTTTCTCATGTGGAGCCTGCAGTAAGGGGAGGAAGCCAGATGCCACTGAGATTTCTGGAACATTCCTAGTCTCCACTTGATTCCGCAGGACCATGAGCCACATGACAGGGGGCCCGTCCACCTTGCAGCAGGGCCTGGGCTTTGGGACCCCCCACATCAGCCACTGGTTGGTGGGTGGGTTCACTAGAACCCAGATGGGGGCTGGTTCACTCCCATGACAAGGGGACTCACATCGCCCCCAGTGCCACTTCCCTCTGGCAAAGGCTGCAGATGTAAGCAGTCTCTGCGGCACCTGCCGCAGGTGGGAGGTGGGCACACTGAACTGGTGAGAGAGACCCCAGGGGATCTCGGGAGGTTGCCAACGGCATCCCTACTGCTACAGTAGCTCCTGTGGCGGTGAACAAGACACTTCTCCTGTTGAGCCTCAGTTTCCTTTTCCTGTTGTTCCTGTGTCTGCCCAAAGGTCACCTCCTCCAGGAAGCCTTCCCTGGCTATCCTGGCTAAAGCAACTTCCCCTGTCATGTCACCTTCTGTCACATCACCTTGGTTTTTCTTTGCAGCATCTCAATGATCTTGTGGCTGTGTGATCTGTTTCTGGTATGCCTGTCCCTCTAGAACATCAGGTCCCCAAGGGTAGGAACTCTGTAACTGCTGTGCCTCTAGTTTGTAGCCTAGGAACTACTATGTGACTGGTATAAATGCTCAAAAGGTATTTATTTATCAATAAGTGAAGGAAGGGGCTGGGGCTGGGGCTCAGCGGTAGAGCGCTGGCCTAGCATGTGTGAGGCACTGGGTTCAAGTCTCAGCACCACATATAAATAAGGGAATAAAATAAAGGTTCATTAACAGCTAAAAAAATTAAAAATAAAATAAAGGTCTATCAGCAACTAAGATTTTTTTTAAAAAAATGAGGAAATAAGTGATTTCAACTTCACCTCCCTGTTTTGGCACACATTTCTGAAGCACCTGCTAAGTGTCAGGTGGGCACTGTGCTAGGCACTTTGCATGAAGGAAATCTGCATCCCCATGGTACAGAGGAAGAGACTGAGGCTCACAGAGGACCAAGGAGTTGCTCTAAGTCACAGGGCAAGGAAGGAGCAGAGCTGGGACGTGCTTTGAGTTCTGCTAGACCCCAGGGACCTTTCAGCCAAGTGTTTAGTCCATACCTCACTTCTCAGGGCCCCTTGGGCCCTGCCTGGAGCCTTCTGAGCAGGTGTCCCCCTGTGTTGCAGGTCTGGTGATGTCGGCCATCACCGTGATCATCCTGGTGCTCTACTTCACCGTGGACACCTTCGTGGTCAACAAGAAGCCGTGGCTGCCCGAGTGCACGCCCGTCTACGTGCAGTACTTTGTCAAGTTCTTCATCATTGGTGTGACAGTGCTGGTGGTCGCTGTGCCCGAGGGACTCCCTCTGGCGGTCACCATCTCGCTGGCCTACTCGGTGAAGGTGAGCTGGGAGTGCAGGACCAGTCAGCTGACATCCCCAGCTGGGAGCCTGGGGAGGGGCCCCAGGGTTGGTGCTGGGGTTGGGAGATGAGCCAAGAAGCATATGGACACATCAGGGGCTCAGAGAGGATGTCTGCTGTCCCCAAAACTCAGACACCTGAGGAAGCTGGGGACAGACCCAAGAGCCCAGCCCTAGCTAAAGGGGTCTCCACTATTTAGCCCAGCCAAATGTCGCCTTGTAGGATTGCAGGCCCAGGGGGTCAGATCTTCACACATCTTTCAAGAGAAGTCAAAACTCTGCACTTACTATAAATTCTCCAGATTTGTATTGACAATCAGCTCAATCCCCTAAAATAAAATAGGATTGGGGGTGTAGCTCAGTAGCAGAGTGCTTGCCTCACATGCATGAGGCTCTGGGTTCCATCCCTAGTACTGCAAAAATTAAATAAAATCCAGATATCGCTCTGAGGCCCAAACCTATCCCCCTCCCACTGAATATAGGCAGAGGTCTGGCAGCCACAGTAACAGGCCCCTCGTAGCCATAGTATTTACACAACTAATCTCAGAGGCCGCAATCTAAAAAGTGTGAAAGAGGTAAGATGAAAACAAAGGGAAGCCTAATTTAACAGAAGCCTCTTCACCTTGGATATAGACTGAGAGGTTTTAAAAGCAGTTAAATGAAGGACTGTTGGACAGTGGATGTTCACTGGGGCAGCTCGGGTCTGGGAGGCTTTCCAAAGCACAATCAATGGCGGAGTCCCACTCCCACCTGCCCAGGCAGTGGTCATCCGCGGGTCCCAGACACCACAAGTCTGACCTTCTGTGGGTCACTCCAAGGCTCTCACGTCCTGCTCATTTCTTCCCTTTGCCCCCGGGGTTTCCCCACCTTGGAGGGCAGGGCTCTGGATTCTTTTCGCCCAGTGTCCTGATGCCATGATGTCCCCCACAAGGGCAGAGGTGTGGTCGTGTTTATTAATAAGGCCCCCCACTCCAAGAAATTGGCAGGGCTTTTGGAGGGCACAGTGAGCATCTGTTTCCAAGTWGGAATTTGGGCTGGGCTCTCCGATGTAATTTCATCCAGAAAAGAGATCTCCARGCTGGTGCCAGGAAGTGGCAGCTCTGTGAAATCTATACAGCCCTGATCGTTCTGTTCTCTCTGTTTTAGGGTTTTCAGAGAAACTCCATCCCACAAACCAAAGCCCAAACAGGTCACATGAAGATGCTCCTCGAGAGCCCGGGGGACGAGAGAGGGCAATATTTACATAGCCATGAGTAGGGGCTCCACAGCCACCCCACCGGGCTGGGGATCTCCTTGAAAACTTTACAGACCGGGTTTGGAGGAACCATGTGTCTAGACAATCTTAGGCTCCTGTGCTGTCTGCAGTTTGTATATCTGGCACCTGGTAGCTTTGGTCATCTTAGGTCATGTTGATTCTGCAGTCACTTGATAAACTTAGAGCACCCAGCTCAGGAGAAGCAGAYGATTCCTCTCTGAGCCTGGATCTGGGAGTCACCATCAAGAGCCCAGCAGTGACCACTTGGATCGGTGCTACCTGGGAAAAACAGATGTGAGCCACATTAAATGTCCAAGTAGCCCCATTTTGTTAAAAGTAAAAAAGGAACAGGTGAAGATAACTTTAATAATGCAATTGACTTAACCCAATATATCCAAATTATTATCAATGCAACATGTGATTGATGTAGAAATTATAAAGAGATTTCTTTTACATGTTCTTTTTTCATAGTGTCTTCAAAATGCAATGTGCTTTTTACATGTACACTTTGGAGCTACCCTATTGGACAGTCTCAACTTAGGGATTCTCAAGCCTAGTAGACCACCCTCTTCAGAGAGCAGATGGGTTGAGGCTCCATGGAATGATCTAGGYTGTGCGGTTAAGTCGAGCTGGGTTGAAACACCAACCTTCAACCTCACTGGGAGTGTGATCCTGGTCTAATCTCTTTGTCTAGATTTYTTCAGTTGCCAAAACAGATCTTCTCAGGGTTCATGGGATTCTTACAACATCAGACAAGAAAATAAATGCAAAAGGCTCGTTGCAGAATGTAAAGTGTATTGCAAATTCCAAATGTTGGTCAACCATTCAGCATGATATTTATTGGCATTATTATCACGGGTTATAATCAGGAAAATTCAATAGCAATAATCCTATCAGTATCTAACTTAAACCTCTGGTAAAATTATTCAAATTGCATTCTTATTTATCCTTGCTGTAAAGAATTATAATGAGGAGCAAGAATAAAGGAAATGAAATCTCTAGGCCCAGCCTGGCAGGGTGGCACATGCCTGTAATCCCAGTGGCTTGGGAGGCCGAGGCAGGAGGATTGCAATTCCAAAGTCAGCCTTAGCAACTTAGCAAGGCCCTAAGCAACTCATTGAGACCCTTTCTCTAAATAAAACACAAAAAGGYCCAGGGAYGTGGCTTAGTGGTTAAGCACCCTCGGTTCAATCCCTGGTATCAAGAGGGGAAAAAAATCTCTAGGCACAGACTAGAACTCCATCTGACTCAGCCTCTAGCGGCTTTGCTCGCCCTTCCTTCCCAGGTAGGGTCAACTTGTCAGGGTACCTGCATGAGAAATGGTGGTTCTTTGAAAATTACTTTATTTTCATTACTTGTTTAAGAACCTAGAAGAGGCAGGAATTGAGCCAGAAAAGGGGAGGCTCTATAAAAATAATAATATGTATAGTAGGGTTTCATTTTGTTATACATCAACATCTGTTCTTTTTAAATTTATAATAAGATGTGGCTGTTCTAGGTGGCAGTTGATGGCTCACTTTTCATTTTCCTTTTAGTATATTTTTATTTAAAAGGAATTCATAGTTTTTATGGTGCAAGTTATGTGCTCATTATAGAAAAATGAAATCTATGGATTTTATAAAAAGAAGTCAATAAAAATCTAAAATTCTATCACTGAGAGATAATGACACTCATATTTTGATATTTCTCCAAATTATTTCCTATATCCATAAACACATGTATGCTAAACTTATTTTASCTTTGGCAAAATTGAAAAGACACTGAAAAACAGGCACCAGTAGAAGGTGATACATTTGAGAAAAATCCATAACCAAATAAGGAATAATTATTTATGCTCAGTTAAGAGTAAAATATTTGAAGTAATCAAGAGAGACCCAACCTTAATTTTTTTTTAATTTTTTTCTTCTTTGCATTACAAATGCAATACACCTTTATACCACAGTTTATCATGTCTCTGTATATAAGGTATGTTGACACCAAATTCACATCTTCATACCTGTATTTTATATAATGATGAGGGTCTCCTTCCACCATCCATGCTATTCCCCTTTTTCCTTTCCCTTCCACCCCTATTCCCTATCTAGGGGTAATTTTCCTCCCATGCTCTCCCTCCCAACMCCATTTTGAGTCACCTCCCTTATATCAGAGAAGTCATTCAGCATTTGTTTTGGGGGGATTGGCTGACTTCACTTAGCATAATCTTCTCTAATGCCATCCACTTCCCTGCAAATGCCATGATCTTATTATTTTTTATTGATGAGTAAAATTCTATTGTGTATAAATGCCCCATTTTTTTTATCCATTCATCCACTGAAGGGCATCTAGGTTAGCTCCACAGTTTAGCTATTGTGAATTGTGCTGCTATAAACATTGATGTGGCTGTGTCCCTGTAGGGTGCTGTCTTTAGGTCCTTTGGGTATAGATCAAGGAGAGGAATAGCTGGGTCAAATGGTGGTTCCATTCCCAGATTTCCAAGGAATCTCCATACTGCTTTCCAAATTGGCTGCACCAATTTGCAGTCCCACCAGCAGTCTACGAGTGTACCTTTTTCCCCTGCAATCCTCGCCAGCACTTGTTGTTGTTTGTCTTCGTAATGGCTGCCACTCTTACTGGAGTGAGATGGTATCTTAGCATAGTTTTAATTTGCATTTCTCTGATTGCTAGAGATGATGAGCATTTTTTCGTATATTTTTTCCACCTTTTTTTTCTATAGACAATGTAGATTACTTCTGTATCTTGAGGTAAAAAAAAAATAAGTAATCTTTTAAATGGTTCAAATGATAAAAGAGAAAGAAAAGGGCCATAACAGTCAAAAGAAGTCCAGGTGTAAGAGGCCTTAATAACCAAGATCCTCTGACATGCAGAGGCCAAATATCACGCAGGGCCTCCGCCCCCAGGCATCCCATCTCCCCCACCTTCCCTCCTCACCATCGCCCTTTTATCTGCCCTTTCTCCCAGAAAATGATGAAGGACAACAACCTAGTGCGCCACCTGGACGCCTGTGAGACCATGGGCAACGCCACRGCCATCTGCTCAGACAAGACAGGCACTCTGACCACCAATCGTATGACGGTGGTGCAGGCCTACGTTGGTGACGTCCACTACAAGGAGATTCCGGATCCCAGCTCCATCAACGCCAAGACCATGGAGCTGCTGGTCAACGCCATCGCCATCAACAGCGCCTACACCACCAAGATTCTGGTAAGTGGGCACCTGTGGCATCCCCCGCTAGGGGGCGCATCATCCATGATGCGACCCAGAAGTCCTGGGCAGATTGAACGATGGCATTGATGTTCTCAGCTCCTGCAGATGCACTCCCRGGTGGTCAGATAATAAGCAATTCATTTCTGTTTGATTTGATAATCTTCTAACTTTAATGTCTGTGTGATCAAACAGAAAAGATTGTTAATTATTACCATCGATTATTTTTTTAAATCCTGACATTGATCCCCTTGCCAAAATGTTTCTATTAATTAGTTTATGCTATGTAACAAAACAAAATACTTCAAGCCAGACATGGTGGTGCACCCCGGTAATCCCTCTGACTCCAGAGGCTGAGGCAGGAGGATTGAGAGTTCAAGGCCAGCCTCAGCAATTTAGGTCCTWAGCAACTTAGTGACACCCCTGTCTCAAAAAACTTTTTAAAAAGGCTGGGAATGTGGCACAGTAGGTAAGCACCCCTTGGTTCAAAACACACACACACACACACACACACACACACACACTTCAAAATTTAGTAACACAAAATGAAACTGCAGTCCGCCCTCCATGTCTGTGGATTCCGTATGCTGATTCCATCAACTGTGGGTTAAAAAATATGCAGAAAAAAATCTAGTTAGGACTAGAATTGTTGCATCTGTACAGCACTATACAGACTTTTTCCTTGTCATTATTTCCTAAACAATACACTAAAAGAACTCTTTACATGTAATATTTAGATTGGTATTATAAGTCAGCTAGAGACAAGTTTAAAAGTATGGGAGAGGATTGTGTGGGTTCTGTGTAAATGCTGTGCCATTCTRTTTAAGGGGCTGAGCATCCAAAGACGTTGGTATCTGCTGTGGGTCCTGGAACCCATCCCCCACAGGGACTAAGAGCTGGCTCTATGWAGCTAGCAATCCTGCAGTTCAGTGGTTCTGGCTGTGCTCAGCAAGGTGGTTCTTCCAGTCTCAGCTGGGCTCCCTCRTGCATCTGCAGAGCTTCAAGTGGCCAGGTCTGTTGATCTTGGCAGGACCATTGGCTGATCTGGCCTGGCCTCCTCTAGGCTACCCCTGCTCCGCCGTGTAGTCTCACCTCCTCTGGCAGGCTAGTCTGGGCTAATTCACATGGTGACAACAGGGTTCTTARAACTGAGGTGTTCAGGGTCTCTTGAGAACTGGGCTGTAAACTGTCACTTTGACACATCCCGTTGAGCAGTGCAAGTTGGGAGGCCAGCCCAGATTCACAGAGTGAATTAGAGATTCCGCCTCTTGCTGAGAGGTGCTGCTTAGGACATGGATTCATAGAAGGAAAAAAAACTGTGGCCATTTTTATAAACAATCTGCCACCCATAATAACCGCTGTTGTTAGTAAGAGTAATAAAATTATTTATTTTGATGAAAAAAAAAATCACTTTCAGCAGCTCATGAGACCTTGTCTCTAAATAAAATACAAAATAGGGCTGGGGAGGGGGCTCAGTGGTCGAGTGTCCCTGAGTTCAATCCTTGGTACCAAAAACTAAAATAAAATAAGATAAAATAACAATCATCTTACTCTCTCAGCTATGCTACTTAGTCTCATCATGCTGTGATGCCTTTTGGGTTTAGAAACCCAAGTTGCCTCTTGGTAATTAACCAGCGTTTGGACTATGGACGAGAAGCCCAGAGTTCATTCATCCAGATGGCCACGGCCACCCAGATGCAGGGCATTTCTGCTTCACGGGCATCGGGGTGAATCGGCGGAGCTTTCTGCTTCCCCTCCACATGTGCCCGAGCCCTGACCTTCCCCTTCAGCCGGGGGCCAGCTGCAGCCTTCATAATCCGGTGGGATTTGTGGGAGCCGCCAAATTGGGGAGTCAGCAGCGTGAGTCAGCAGCGAGGGACTGGGGGTTGCTGTGGGGATAAGGAGGCGGCTCCGGCGCCCTGCCTCTCATGGCCACCCCCATCACCCTGGAGCTGCAGGCCAAGGGAGGCAGAATCCACAGAGGGGAAAGTAGGTCGGAGGACGTGTGCAGACGGGTGACAGAGAACCCTGCGGGTGATGCCAGAGATGACATTTCTGTCTCCTTTCTCCCCTGATTTGGGAATCAAGAGAGATCAGCGATGCTTTATTTGGTTCCCCCGGCCTTCCTAAAATAACCGCCACGCTGTGAATGAGTTTGTCCTGCAGATGTGGCAGAGAGGGGAGCGGCGATTCCCAGAACAGGCTTCCAGCCATGGGGGCAGCCATGTGGGCAAAAGCCCTGTGCAGTGGGCTTGGATTGAGACGTAGATTATTCAGTTACAGTCAGGAAGTCCCTGGATCGATCAGGAGATCTGTAGAAACCTCTCCATGGTGTTAAATCTCAGATGGTCTCGGGAACAGCGGTGGCAAAGCTAGAATCTCACTTCCAGATATTGGTGGACTGAGGCTGTGTCCAGGTGGCACAAGAGACAAGGGTCAGTGAGTCCACCTGGGGAGAAGGTGCAGCTTCGTAAGCTTGGGGCCAGGCCAGAGACCTGGAAATCGGGGTCCTTGKTTTGTAATCCAATAGTCACATAGGGTCCCCTGCTGCTATACCTTGAACTCTGGGATCCTAGGATTCCTGTGCCTGTATTTCTGGCTCTTTCCTGAAAGTATCATGGCCACATGATTCTTTTTGTTGACAGCCATCAGTGTGGGAGGGACAGTAGAGCCTCTGGTATGAGCAGACAGTGGTCAAGACTCCTACTCTGGAGCCAGACAGCCTGGGTTCAAACCTCTCGCTAGCTGTGTGAATCCAAACAAATTACTTAACTTCTCTGTGCCTTAGTTTCTTGGGTAAAATAATAGGATTATTGTGAGGAGCAAATCAGTAAGTGGGACGCGCTGAGCACCACACCTGGCACATAATTAGCATACAGGATGACTGGGTGGTTATTCAGCAATAAAATTATAGGAGGATTCCATTTGGCAATGCAGAGACCAACAAGTAAGTAAATTACAGCAGAGGCATCAGGGTAGAGAGGAAAAGGGTCTTGTCCAAAGTCAGTTAGCAGCAAAGTCAACCTCTGGCCACCTTATAGCCAGCTGTTGAGTCCAGGGGCCCAGCCAGATTCTTAGTCATTGAAACCAATCCCACAACACCATTAGACTGTGGTGGTCTTGGGAACGAGGGCTGGAGTTCAGGGTAAGTTTCCCACCCAGGCCCTGCCAATCGGGCCATGTAACACAGGGGCTCTCGGGGACCACCCTTTCTTCATCCTGATGAAGACAGTAAAGAGGCTAAGGCAGCTTGGTCCAGGGTAGAAGTCCAGGCATCTCCCAACCAGGATGGGAAATCTAGACTGCAGGACGCCCTGAGTCCATGCAAGAGGAGGTGGGCAGGAAGGAGGAGCCGTGCCCTTCACCCTCATGACTCATCTGCTCCCGTGCAAAAAATGGACCTGGCCAAGGAAAATGAGACCCTGGTGACAGCTGAGCTCGCACACACCGTGTCTTCCCCTTCCTGAGGACAACAGTCCTCTGTCTCTTCTCACCATCTGATGCAAACAATGGGGTCTTTTTCTTTTTTTTTAAGAGAAAGAGAGAGAGAATTTTTTTAATATTTATTTTTTAGTTTTCGGTGGACACGACATCTTTATTTTATTTTTTATGTGGTGCTGAGGATCGAACCCAGTGCCCCGTGCGTGCTGGGCAAGCGCGCTACCGCTTGAGCCACATCCCCAGCCCGGCAGTGGGGTCTTTGAGAACGAGAGACACAGTTGAGTCTTCTCTAGTCCCCTCAGCATAGGCCTTTGGGAAATAGTGGGTGGATGGGCTGGGTAAGTGAATTGGTTGATCCATAAATAGATAAATAATCAATGAGATGACAGGAAGGCAGAGAGAGGGAGGAACAGATGGGCAGATGAATGGAAGGTGGAGGGTGAGTAGGTAGATGGGTGTGTGTCGGGGTAGATGAGTGAATGGGTGACTATGAATTAATAGGGGTCTCTGTGACCTCTTCCTGTGACAGCCAGAGGTTCCATGTTCCTTGGCCAACACCAGGGCTTTGTCAACCCCTCCAACTTACCAAGCTGACTCTGCAGTTTCCCTCAGTCATCCAGGCTGTGCTGGTTGAACCAGAGAGCTCCTAATTGGCTGATGCCTTTCTTCTTTCAAACATGAACAAATTACATGCGTATTTGCAAGGGTGGGTAAAGAACCCAGGGGTGCTCTATCCTTAAGCTACATCCCCAGCACTTTTTATTTTTTAATTCTGAGACAGGGTCTCTCGCTAAGCTGCAGAGGCTGGCCTCAAACTTGCAATCCTCCTGCCTCAGCCTCCAGAGCTGCTAAGATTACAGGCATGTGCTACCAGCCAGCGGTGGCACCCAGAGGAGGCTAATGAAGGCAGAGTACCCAGGACAGTGCAACAAGCCCTCCGTCCATGTCAGTTATTACTCTCATTACCACCATGATTCTTTCTGAGCCTCTGCAGTTGGCTTTGCCGGTCAGTCTCGCTTGACCCTACACATCCCTTTCATCCCATCAGGCCAAACAGGCCCACTCCCATGTTGCAGCTAGGAAAACTGAGCTGCAGAAACCTCAAGTAACCTGCCATGGTCACTCCTGAAGACCAGGGATGAAGCTGAGTCCAGAAAATTCCAGAGAAGTTCTCCATGGTGGTCAGGGAGGAGGGACATTCCAGGCAGGCCCAGAGAACTTAAAATTCATGGCTCATTCAGAAAACATGGTGGTGTGTGGCCCCGGCATTTCTTTGAGGGCCAGAATAATGCAAAATTAGTCTGAAGGGTGAGGCAGAGCTCATTGGTAGCAAATAAGTCCGCAGTAGGCTTTCTCCTCACGGGACCCAAAAGAATTACTCAAAACACAGGTGAGGCGGGTTCAAGGGCCAAGGTTGTAGGAAGGGTGGCCAGAAAAGGAGGCCCAGGAGGCCAGCCTCAGCCCCATGCCCATCCCTTCTGAGATGGAAGGTAGGGGGGCTCTTTCCACTCTTATTTCTAATCATTAGGGACTTCCCTTGCCCCCAGGGGAAGCTACAT